ATGTACATTGAGCACTATCTGACAAGAAAGGGTTGCTAGGTTATACTCGCTGGGCGTAAACTTCTTGGTTTTAGAAAGGTTTAGCGAGTGTTGGGCCGCAGTGCCATAAATACAGTGAACTAGTATATACCATGAACTCGAGGTGGTTAAAGGTGGGAAGTAGACACGAAGCGCAAGCCGTAAGAAAGTGTGTGTGTGTGCCACCTCTCGTTTAGTCCTTGGAATGTCCGCTAGATGGCGGTGCTTCTATATGGGGAATATATGATGAAATGATGCGAGATGATGGTACTTGATTGAGTGTTGACTAGATGGACGAATGGACACAGAGACGGATGCATGGACGGACGCACGGATGGCTACACGGACGGATGGATGCAGGGGCGGATGCATGGACAAACGCAGGGACGGACACATGGATGTACGTGCGGATGCACGAACAGATGCACGCATGGCCGGGCGGATAGACGCACGGACGGTCACACAGACGGACGCATGGATGGACGGAAGCAAGAATGAATGGACGTACGGATGCTTCGCCCCACTCTCCATCATTGACCCCGTGAATATGCTGCCATTTTTTTTGCCTACTTTTCCGCGCATCATGTATTTACAGCTTTTAAGGGGAGATGCGGGTCGAAATTACCTATTTTTATTTTCGCCTGTTTTGATAAGATTAGTACCTCTACTGTTATGAAAAAAATATTACAGGTCAAGACTTAACCAAAAATGCTTTTGCATCTAAAGAGCACAAGGTGCCTGTTAAAAGGTAGAAAGCGTGCAGTCTTTGAACACCTTGCCGCCGATAATGCGCCGCCGCTAGCCATTGTTGATTGCATGGGTCGAAGAGTTGAGCCTCACTCTTCAAATAACAACAGTTTCTCTCACTGATGCAGTGCAAGAAATAATAAACAGAAGCACTCTTCTGCGCGTTTTTCGAGCGCCACAACTGGCTTATCACATTGTACGAACCGGGGACCGCCATTGGCCGCTGCGCGCCTGTATGTACTGTGAAACCTATTTGCAGGGTCCATGTCTTGTCGTGCAGTGCCGCTGAACAATGCTTTTCTCATGTAATTATCTCCGTTATGAATGAAAGAAGGCATTGCTGGCAAGTGAAAGCCGTTGTGCGACGCGCTCTGTAGGAATAGGCTACGACCAGCTGGTCCGATTTGCGGCAGTTGTTGGCTTGCAAAAGCCAATGCATCAAAAGTCATTTATACCCGTGCCACACGGGCATAGAAAATGACATTCGGTGGCGAAGGCCTTCAGTTCCTGAATGACATTTTTTTCGGCGGCGCTGCTACACGTCCAAAGCGAATGACATTTGACTTGATGATGTTGATCGCAGCACCTTCCAAGTGAGCATTGGGTGAATAGCAATAAAAAAATAAACAAGCGTTTACAAGGTTCACACACATCAGATAATCATTAAATGTAGAAATAAGCATATTACGCTGCCCTGAGTTTTAGTTTCTTGCTTTGTTTTACGACGTTGCAGCCGACCGTAGCACCCTAAGCCAACAATAGTCAGATCCACAGCGTAAATAGAAAATGGCGCCTGTCGCATCGTACCTGTCGCATCTCTCAGAAGATGTTCGCAGAGTTCATTTTTTCACGGCAGCACTCGTGTGTTTTCGTGCAAAGCATCGTGCTCAAGAGCGAATAATTCTGGAGCAGAGACGAGTTATTATGCGCCAGCTTCAGGACATTAAACTTCGATTAATTTCAAACCATTTCAAACTGATCTTCGTATAACGTTCAAAGCACTTTTTTAAGAGTTTAGTGCAGATAAAAGACTGGAATTTTTATTTTTAGCTGAATATGATTTCTTTTATTTACGTTAAGGTAAATCACACTTCGCGATTTGTGTCGTCGAGAGTAGGCATTTCTCAGTCAACTGAGTTCTGGCGAAGGCATTTGGTGGCGAATGGCATTCGGACGAATGCCATTTCGTTCGTCCGTGTGGCACCGCGCAAATGGCAATAAATCTGAAGGCATTCGGGGGTAAATGCCATTTTCTCTGCCAGTGTGGCACGGGTATTACACCCGTCAGCCGGAAAGTTCGTGATGCGACAATGGATGACGTCAGCGCCAATCTTGAGAGTTCGAAAGCACTCGCAGTGAGAGAACTTAGCAAATACGACATTGCCATTATGTACGACGGTATGTGGCACAAACATGGCTGCAAAACGGCATGACACTGGACTTAGTTTTGATTTCGCAGTCCTGTCGAACTTCTTCCTGGCTTGCATTTGGCACAAGGCTCTGCCAGATGGAGCGAAAGTTTGGCAAGCATTTCATGACCCTGTCTGTGAGCGAAATGTCTGTGAGGAGTCGGCTCAAAAAAGCCGAGAGGGAGAAACTCATGGTGCTGGCATATTTTAGTCGCAGTGGCCCCTACAAGAAGGATTGTTCTTTTTGGTCTGTAAATTTCATCTGATTTAATGATACCTTTCATCAATAAAAACTCAGTTTTAACTTTAAAACTTGTTTTTCTCAAAACACAAATTTTGCCATTTTTTCCCAAGTGCCCCTCCTTTTTGGGGCACTTCTAGTGCTCAAACCTGCATGAAATTTTGCCCACAGTTTTCCAACGTATGACAAACGAAATTATCTAGTTAAACTTTCAATATTTTATTTGTAAAATAAAAAAAATTGTATGCATACCTTCGTTAGGGTAGGTGAAATATGGACTTTTTACGTCTATTATCTTTCACGCGTATTAGATATTTTGTATGTGCTTCCTAATTAGTTATTTACAGTCTACACTTTATTTAAAGCATTATGAACTATGAATGGTAAAAAATTACAGATGTTTAGTGATGAAAAGAGGGCGGGCAAAAGGGTTAAGGTTTTCACTTTGTCATGTTGCAGAGTTAAAAGTGTGTAACTTTCAAGAAACCTAACTATATATTTGAAATCAGCATAAAGAATTCTATAAACAGCTCGTTTCATTGCTCTAGGGTGAATATTAAAAAGAAGTGTCTTCGAGTAGCATCTCCCCTTAAATTTCTGAGTGCCCAAGAGCATTCCCATTTTGAGAATTCCCAAAAAGAGTGTTACCGTACAAAAAAAACAACAATAATAGAATATTTTTAACAAATGTGCAAGTTTCCCTCTATTTGCCACAGTTTATTCGGCCATCCGCAGCAGTTCTCCAGACGCAGGCTGCCAATACATTTGGTTGGGCGCCCACAGCAGCTCAACGGATATATGTCTGTCATGCTTCACGTCGGAGTCCACAGTGCTTGTGCTTTTCTCTCATTGCATCGCTGTGCCCAACATGTCCAACCATGCAAGAAAGGACACGCGTGCATCGTGCGCCATTCGGACCGACCCCCGTCATGATGGGCCCAGGCGTTCGCCGAACGCATTTCGATGTACAGATGAACGAACAAGTGCACAAATGAACAAATGAATGGACACAGTACAGCCTATTCTTTTACAGCATATGTGCGCTATGAACGCTCTATGCACGGTAGAGACGACCGGCTGATGGGGGCCTACTACGACGGCAACAACGGACATTGTCCAAGCCTAAGTAGCTTTGCTCCTGAATAGAGAAAAAGACAGTAAGGTGCCCCAAATGTCATATTTTCTAGCGCAAACAGGAAGAAAAAAAAGAACTGGCTGTGAAGAGAAGACAGTGCACACGTCATGCGCTGTCTTCTCTTCTCAGCTATAGTGCTCTTTTTGTTTACTTCCTGTTTGTGATAAAAAATATCACATCTGGTATACAACACCGACTGGCCCGAAAGGAAGCTTTATTGAAACAGTAATGTGCGATCACCTGGTCACGTGTTTGGGACCCCTGCTTTGTGGGTACCTGCAGATCCCTAAGAACCCGGCATAACGGCAGCGCATAATGATATGCAACGGCAGCGCAAAACAAGCAAAATCAGAGAAGTTGGCAAGACTGCCGCGACAATTGGCCTCCCGCATTTTTTCAAGAGGAAACGATGAAAGTCACCCTTCAAAATCCACGACGAGGTCGCCACCTGAATCAGGCGTTTTTCGGCGGAATATAGAAGTAGAGCGTCTTGTGCCTGTGCACGCCTCAAAGATGGACTGTAAAAGAGCACTTAATTGCAAAATGGGCCTGAAAAAAACGCCGGTTGCAAGCCCCGCCCACTGGCGGCAACCACCGTTTTACCACGAGGTGTGTGGCATCATGTGCTTCACAGAGTGGAGACACTGTCTTCTACCTTCTGTCTAAGCAAATCGTTCAATTTTCAATGTTGAGCTGAAGTGAGCTGATATAGCTTCATTGTAAACACAGCTGAGCGTGAAACGACATCACTAGCTGGAAAACAAACGCTCGCAAAGCAAGCGGCTTGTTACGCCAGTGCTTGCGAGTGCACCAGTGTTGTCAGACTCTCTGGCCGCTCACGTACTTATAAATGTATTGAATATAAATTAAGTGCTCGATAAAATGTGCTGAAATTTAGCCAGCCTGTTCGTGAATGCTCAAAGAGTAAGCCACAAAACACAGATTATGAGCGAAAATGTACTTTCTGCAGTTAGGTGTAGATCTAAGTTGAGCTTTAGTACAATCCAAACACACTAAGTGCCTATCACTTACTCAAGTCAGAAGGTGAGGGTCAGTTTTGTTTGTGAATACGAGCTGCAGAGACTCGGACAAGCATGGCGAACCACGGGCTGTCGACGTGGCTGTCAACCATGCCAAAGTTGTATCGAAAACAAAGATACTCCTCCTTGGGCTAGGCCTGGTGGTCAAACTAGCATGCAGTCACACGGGAACATTCCGAAATAGACAATAGTGCATTTAAACTAGTCAAATATTTTGCATCATTTTCCGATTAGCCTATTAAGCCAGTGGCACTGCCATAAGGTCGCCCTAACAATCAAGCATACCCATATTACTAGTCGACGGTTGGACTCTAGAACAGTGGGGATCGTGGATGGATGCCAGTGTGCCTTTGCCAAGCTTAATCTGAAAAGTGGTATCGTTCTGAGAAAAAGATAAAAAAATCACTCACCTGATCAAATTCACTAGACGACACCAGGAAGAGAATGGAGGTGACACTGTCGAAGCATCGGAACCACTTCTGGCGCTGCGACCTCTGGCCGCCCACATCGACGAAACGAAAGGGTACCCCATTGACGGGCACCACGAATTCCGTGATGCTCTTTGTTGCCTTCCGTGCATGCAGGATGTCCTGGTTGGTGGGTATGAACTCCTGCACAATGAATTCCAGAGAAGTGACAGACGAATGTCCATTCTCACAGCAAGCTATGTACTCGCCGTCCATGTTCAGACACATTTTTATAACACTATCGAAGTTCAATGCACACGACGAGGCGATGACCGTGCCTAGTAACGTTTGCTGTAAGCGGCTTTCCACTTTGATGGAATGTTAAAAGGTACATGATGCAGAGATTCCTAACCAGCACATACACATAGAACCCTGTCAGGAATGCAATATGCACCACCAACACGCCAATGTTTCTCAGCTAGTGAATGTTATAGTTTAATTCGCTACGAATGCTTCACAACCTACGTTAGGCAGAATGTGAGAGGGTCCTGGCATAACAACAAAGTGTCCTCTCGTTTAAACATTGCACCAGAAATGTAGGTGCCCATGTAAACAGCTCCAATCAGACAGTATCATTTACTTATTTTATTAAGCTAAGGTTCCCAACAACCCGAAGAAAAACTATTTCTTGTCACGAACTATTTCTTGTGACGAACTATTTCTCGTCAATTTTTCAAGGCCATGCATCAGGGGCCTCCTTTGTGTTGGAAAATATTATCTGCAGACAAAAAGCAAAACAAAATTGAGCCATCTGCAAAATGTCGCCTCTTGCATATACCATTTTCTTTTTTTGCATTTCTTACATCACTTTTGCAAAGCTTTACAATCTCGATAATTACACCTTTTTAATGGCACAGTTACAGCAAATTTACACAAGCGATGCAAGTCTTAAAACCATAACCTCTAACCCACCCATCCAGATGGTTGCTATGTTTGCCTGTGCACATGTTGTGCAAAAAAGTCATGTTTAATAAATTTGTTAACTGCCGTACTGTCCTCATGCCGGGGACAAAATGGGAAACTAGCGCACGAGCTGATGACTGCAACTATCCTAGGGGTAATTTATCCCGTTGAGATGAACAACAGTGCAACACCAGCAGGTGAGTCCTCACTGTCTAAAGGTTTGATAAAAAGATCACGCTACAAAAACATTCGTGTGCAAGCTCTTTCGTGCACAGTTTAAAACATGGGAAATAACTCCACACTATAATGACTGAATATTTGGTAAATCCATATGAGTGAAACGCATTATTAAAAACTGCCCCGCCGCGGTGGTCTAGTGGCTAAGGTACTCGGCTGCTGACCCGCAGGTCGCGGGATCGAATCCCGGCTGCGGCGGCTGCATTTCCGATGGAGGCGGAAATGTTGTAGGCCCGTGTGCTCAGATTTGGGTGCATGTTAAAGAACCCCAGGTGGTCGAAATTTCCTGAGCCCTCCACTACGCCGTCTCTCATAATCATATGGTGGTTTTGGGACGATAAAACCCACAAATCAATCATTATTAAAAACTGAAAGCATGTATCACAAAATGACTTGATTCCTCTATTTTCATCGTAGGCCACCAAATGCGTACTTTTCTGGGAACCAAATCAACGATATCACGAAATCATGTAATAAAGAATTCAATAGTGTCCTCCAAACAGCTTGACCCGGCCAGGCCTGGGTACTAGAAACATTTGCGATAAATGCATTGTCCAAAACTTACAATCGGATCAGTTGCTAGGCATCCGTTTATTCTAAACAATGCCAGAAAATTAAGAGTCAACTCATAGGAAAAAACAAACAATGTCAAATTAAGTTTGTGCGAGCAACACATTCATATACTCCCAGTCATTACACTCTTTATTTTGCTGCAATATGACAGAAGTACGACCGGTTCAAGAATCCCTCTGTAAAATGAATGAACAGCATGTTCTACTGTTACCGGAATCACACGAGTGCATGGCCGGCGGTCCGCAGAGCGCTAACTGCTGGCAAGATTTCGAAATCCCGCACATGAGCATAGGTTCAAGCTGGTGCGTCCCCCCCCTTGTCTGCTAATGCAAAAGGCGTGCGTTTGCGAGCCATGACTTTTCAAGACTTTCCCACTGTAAATACCACCTTGGCCTTTTTCGTCTTTAATAAGCCAACATTTCATGGTCAAAAAAGGTGAGCTTAGAATGCTCCCTGCATCAGGTTTCACATACTGTTATCAAAAGCAGCCAGTTGTAGCGAGCAGCATGTAAAAAATATGATGCGCTTAACGGTGATAGCTTGTGAAGAACTGCAGGAATAAATGAAACTGAGCATTTTTTGCGCTTGCTGAAAATCTTACGAGCAGCAGGCAGAGAGACAGCTAGATAAATTGCATTCCAAAAATACGGAAGCATTTTCCAACACTTTCATGCACACAGGCGGAGAAGCAGCAGACGAAACTGGGTGCACGCCGCACTTACTATTCTATGCGCATGTGCCGCATTTACAAATCTCGCCGCCAGTTAGCGCGGCGCCACCGGCTGGCCGCTAGCTCGAGAGTGCCCTCTAACAGTGGACCGCACTGTAGAATGTATCAACTCTCTCCTGCATCACCTGGTAATTAAGCGCAGAGCCACTGTCAGCATAGATTAGCTCAGTTGCATAGCAGCATGCCTCAGGGTGCACTGCAAGATGCGTTTTCCTTTAGTTGTGTTGCAGAAGAACCAAATTACACATTGGAACGGAAAGAGGTTTCGCGCCACTAAAGGAAGTCTTGCTGCAGGGTGAACGACCTCTTTGTTCATATTGTCACGATGAGTCTCTGTGCATTTCAATTCAGCCCATCACGAGTGTTCAAATGCAAATGTCAACTATACTTGCCTTGGTAGCGATTCGGTCCAAGTGGTCGAAAAAGTAGCGAACCCCGTCGCCCTGCAGTCATCACAAGAGCACGAAAATTTTGTACAATGTTCAAGCGCAACAGCAACATGCTGGCATGAGCAAACACATGAAATTAAATCCCACAAGAACACTTCCATGTCATTCTGCAAAAAAGAAATGGTGACAATTTGTTCACATTTATATCAGCAGAAAAAGCTGAATGGGCTAGTGTGAAGTCTAAAGACTGATAGCGTGGCAGTCGAAGCAACATCTACTAGCAACAGCAAGAAACACCACCACAGAACAAACATTGCTGTGCACAGGACTTGTTTTAAAGAATGCATTGCTACGCATGTAAAGGTTTCAAGGTGAGTGCCGATCATGTTGTATTTTTGCGTATCTTCTGTTGCATAAATGCGCCACAAAATCAGTTGCAATTCAGTGTCCTTTCTCGTGATTCCATAGTTTTCCATTTTGTAAATTGTGCTGTGGATGTAGTATTTATTTGCGACTCCAGAGGGCACATTCATGCCAAAGAATGAACTGCTTTCAGTTAGTGTGACATCAATAGTTTGCCTTTCATTTGCGGAAACATCACCCCGCCGCATATAAAAAGAACCCAATGAAATAAAGCGGCCGTGGATACAACATTTTGCAAACTTTTAAAAGTAAGTAATTATTCTATAACGTTGTTGCTATAAAAAACAAATGTAAGTCAGCACTTCATCTGTTGAATTAGCTCTTGCTCTATGTGTCGCTTCCATGCAGTTACCTTCAAGAATGCATCATCCAAATTTCCAAAAGAATTGCTCTAAATATTTAGTTTAGTTTACGGGTCATTAATAAGTATATCGAACATGAAGCATTGGTTCTTGTATACATTGGCAGAGAGGGTTAATTTTTTTCCTCATCGAAAAAAAATTTTTTTTTCGATTTCGCATGTGCATATAAACGCCTACACACAAACACATAAAGGTTGTTGACCCCCACCCGCTGCAATCGAAAATTATTTCTTGCTACGCGCCTGGCTCTGACCGCAATCGGCTGTAAGAGACGACGAAACATTGCGGGAAGAAGAAATTCAATCGAACGTCCCGAAGCCCCAAAGAGGATGAAAGATAAAACTCTAAAAGGGTGCCCGTCGCGAGATTGAGGCCAGCTCCGCAAATAGATAAGCTCCGTAGCCAACGCGGCTCCTACGCGGTGCAATCTGTCGCAGGAGATTTCTTTTTGTAACGCGCCAAAGCCGATAAAAGAATGCGGCTAGACAAACTAAGGGGCTCTCCCCCAAACTTCGACCGTTTCCTGCAGCCGAGCAAACGAAAACCGTGCCCGTGTGTCGGCTATGATCGCGCCCGTTTATCGCGCCTGGCGTGAAAGAGTAGCGCTTCGCTATCGCTCCCAGATAAAACAAAAACTCCCATTCGAACCGGCCGGGCGATATCCTATGTACCAGCCGCGCGACTCCCAGGTGCGACACCTGTCAAAAGTTCCACGGTGCCTCGCGACAACACACGACAGGTACGCTGGTACACAATCGCCCACTCCGTGACGAAATAGAGATAGCGATTAGAATAACAGAGGGCTGAACTGGAAGGTAGGTATTCACGTTAAAAGTGCAAACACGGACACGAGAGATGTCGAGATAAAATGAAGTCGCGGTGTCTCGACTCCGCGCGCCGTGCCTCTAAAATAAGGAAAAATGAGTGCGGTACAATCACTGACCAACTGAAACTCGATGCGACGTTCGAATGCTTCCCGGATACCGGCGTCCTGCCACAGGGCCCGCACCGAAGGCGCGTACCGGCTGAACGTCTCCGAGTCGGCGGGTTCGAACGCCGAGTCGTAACCCAACAGTCGCTGAGCGTGCACCTCGTTGGCCGGGTTCTGCCACGGTATGTCCAGCTTCCGTCGGGCGTCGGCCAGCACCTTCATTCCCCGAAGCACGTTCTGATATACGACCGAGCGGTACTCCACAAGCTGTTCGGGCTCGAAGCTGCAGTTGTGGATGATGCGCATCTGCTTGAGGAAAGTACTCTTGCCGCTCTCGCCGGCGCCCAGCAGCAGCAGCTTGACCTGCCTCCGGATCACCTGCTTGTCCTTTTGGATCATCTTGTCGATCTTGTGGCTGCGCTGCAGCGACTCCAGTTCCTCGGGGCCGTAGCGCAGCCCGTAGAGGCAGCCGCACTGCGCCAGCAGCCTATCCATGACAGTTGTCGGTGGACGGGGAGGGGTGGCTAGTCAGCACCGCTTTTTTACGGGGTTGCGGCCCTCCTTCTTCGTTGCGGATCTAGCGGGCTCAACAACATGCCGCACCGTGCGAGCGGCTTTCGGCGGTGATCTCAAAAAAACAGGAGACGAGTTCGCTGGCCCGCCGAGGCGATGACACACAAACAAGACGGCGGCGGCATCCACGGTCAGCAGGGAAGCCCCACACACGCCTTCCTTCCTTCACCAACACACGCTTCGGAACATCCCGAAGACCACGTGACCAGAAGTTACGTTCACGCGCGTGAGAGCGCTAGAATCGGGCAGGATGTGTGAAATGAAAAGGGCGTCAACTTGGCTCGACGAGAAAAAATTCGTAATGCGTTGCTCCTCCGCTACCAACGCCTGTAGCGCTGCCTCCGACTTTGCGGTCACATCTGTAAACCAGTTTTTAAAAGCGGGAAAAAGAATAGCTGGGACCATGTTTGCACAGCTGTAGAAAACTGTGCGTAATAAAATTAGAGAGTTGTGTGAATCTACAATAGAAAGATGACAAATAAAGAAAGATATTGTACCAAGGTAACTGAGGCGCAATCGTTTCAGCACACATTTCGCGAGAAGCGAGTTAGCCTCTGAGATTGCGCGCTGGCTGGTTTACAATCTTGCAGGGCATGATTGTGCTACGCTCACTGCGTACAACGGGAGCAGGTTGGCGTAAGTGACACCTACGTGATCTGGACAATCTGTCTCTATCGCTCACTGTTGAGCCAGTTGACGAATCATCAACATCCAAGATAGAGTTCCAGTGAATACACAAGAAGGTGGAACGCACGAACAAACGCTGGGGTTTATTTGAAATATGATATGTGGGGTTTAACGTCCCAGGACCACCATATGATTATGAGGGACGCCGTAGTGGAGGACTCCGGAAATTTCGACCACCTGGGGTTCTTTGACGTGCACCCAAATCTGAGCACACGGGCTTACAACATTCCCGCCTCTATCGAGACGCCTTATTTGAAATAAATTTCCGAATAATATCACTGCTCTATCGCATCTTCGTAATCATCAGTGTTTATAGGACTATTGCCGATGTTTTTGCACTATTGCTAGGTTGTAGTTACTGTCATAATAGTTTTTTTGTGTTATGTGCTTAACCTGACAGGCCTCTTTTATTTTCCCATCATTATCTACCCCACTGACACATTTAAAATGTCATTTTTCTCCCGGACGATAGCGCGGTGGAATACGTTGCCTTCTGAAGTAGCAGAGGTTACTTCACATGAAGTATTTTCAAGATTACTTCAGGGTCTAGAGTAGTGTACTCGCAAGGATGTGTAGGGACGAAACGGTATTGTGAAGCTGCTTTGTATTGTCTACTCCCACGTAGATACGTATAGTTGACAATGAATCGTGGCATTATTATTGTGTTGTAGAAGTGTGAGTATCTGTATTCAGTGTTGAAATTTTGTATTATTTCTCCCCCACTGTAATGCCCTTGGCCGTTGTGGGTACTATGATAAATAAATAAATATCCTCGATCATAAACTTGCCAATTTCCGTGCTGGGGAACAAACCACGCTGACCCCTTGCGTTTCTGCCACTTTCTTAATGTGAGAATTGTTATGAATGTAAGGCATAACTCTAAACCCTTCGTATTGTCCGAAGTCTTTCGGACTTTAAGATCTTTCCCTTTATTCATTCCAACTTCCGTCACAGACTTAGTAAGCGAGAAATCAAAAACCTGCAGCTATCAAATAACCTCTCGATTTGTTGCTTCAGTCCACAGGCCAAACAGTGAGAGCGGCTCTTTGGCCCCGCGACCATTAGTTGCTCGAGCGCTGTGTGCTCCTCTTGACCAACGTCATCTGGTTGGATATTAGTGCTTTCTTTGTTCAGGGTGAACAATTAAGATTCAGCAAACGTGGTCATTCGCATGAAACATTAGTATCAAGACAAGAAGCCTTATGGTTTCATCGAGATGTATTTCGTGGGATAAAAAATTCCTAAAAGTAGATAAAATTCTCTGAAACGCTGCCCACTTTGTATGCTCGCAAAAGTTTTATAAAAACGTTACTTCCCAAGTGATGTAAGGAGAAACGAAATGCGCATGTGTGAGAGGTTCTGTGCGGGTGCGGCAATGTGATTTCGAATAACGCACAGTTGAGCAACGCTCGTCCGTGTGTACCACCTTCTTGTGTACGTGTTTGTGTGTATTTCCTCAATATAGTACAGCGTCATTACGCCCTAGATACAGTTTACTACAATGTAGTATTAGATACACGGAATGCCCCAATGATTTTTTGTTTGTCTAAAGTGCAAAATTGGTCCTTGAAACCTCTTGTTTTCAAACTGACGCCGTAACCTCTAGTAAGACATCAAAAATAATGAAGAAAATATATGAACCACCAGCTCTTGGTACTGGATAGAAGTCTCTCATTCCAGGAGCCACATCCCCATAAGCATATGCACAGAAGCCAAGTGGGTTGCTGGGGTATCGACTGGGGGATGCTGCAACTTTGCGCTCCCCACACCACCCCCGAGTGGGTAAGTGCCATTCATCCCAGAAGCAGCATCATCATCAGCTGGGGATAAGAAGAAGGAGCAGGGCGGCAGGCTGGTGTCCGTAGACCCTTCCTGGGAGAAGAGGACGATGATGGAGCTATGGACATGATCCTGGGCGTCATGGACGAGGGCTACCACCTTGGCTCCGCGGTGGCGGCCCTCGTGGTCATCGCCCACACTGTCTACCTGGGTCTGGACAGCACCGACGAAGTGACCAGCCTCGTCCAGAAGTGCCTCCTGCTGCACTTCCACGTGGTGCGGCTGAGGTGAGTTGGGAGCCGTCCACAGTACGGTGGTTTCGCCTTCACCGAATCACGCGTGAAAATCGCCAACGTGACGATAAGTGCTGGGACAGACGTGAGTTAAGTGAGGGTGAGTCAGTCAACATTAACGTACCTATAGTTGTGACAAGCTCACGTGGCACCAGTAGATGCGCTTTCTCCGAGTCATGCGAAGAATTAGAACCGTGAAACTACAGCGTGCAACATCAAGAAAGAATTAGGGTCGCCTCCAACTTCTATGTTCTTCAACTCAACGAAAAGCTTATCGCTAAGAGTGTCTAATGATGGAATTGTAACATGGAAAATGCCGCAATACAATTGTAATCATATTTTTTTAGCTTCGGCGAATATAAAGTCGCGTACACACGTGACAACGCACGCTGCAAATGGTGGGCGCGAGAACGGTTAAAGTTCGGTGGTTTACTGCGTATGCATGCACTCCACACGTATGTGCTGCGGTCCGCTGGCAGCCGCAAAGGCAGCGCCGTTTGTCGCCGTGCAGCGCCTTTCCACGCGCTGGCCGCACAGCCGCAACGCATGTGGAGGGACTTCTGGTGCATGGTGGGGGTGGGGGTTAAGCGAATCGGCAACGCTCTTTTCCCCTCCGCTTGGGTGTGGCAGGGGTCCTGGTACGTGCGTTGTGGCTGTGCGGGCACCGCGTGTAAAGGCCCTTACCTAAGGGCAGTTCCACGCGCTTCCCGCACAGCCGCAACGCACTTACCGGGACCCCTACCGCACGCAAGCGGGGGACAAATAAGCCAATTGGCGACGCTGCGGAGGGTGAAAGAGCGTCGCCAATTGGCCCATTTGTCCCCCGCTTGCGTGCGGTAGGGGTCCCGGTACGTGCGTTGCGGCTGTGCGAGAAGCGCGTGGAACGGCTCTAAGAAGCAGCATGAAATGGAGCGGGGCTAAACAACAATATACATTGTTTAGGACAAATTGTGGCGCATATGACAGCATCAGGCTACTTGATTACGTACAGCATAGTAATCGACTTCATAACAAAGCTTCAAGGCTCTTTCGCTAGGCTGCGCTACATACCGGTTTTTGTTACTCTTGCACGCGCTTTAAAGAAATCAAGTCATACTTATCTCGCAAAAAGGATGCTTGTTTATGTCACTATAGTGCACGATTCTTTCATTTCCTCCCGAATCTGACCACGTGTTCTGGCCCAATATTGGTTCCTTTAAAAGTCGGTGACGCGATAACACGCGTCCGTGAACTGTCGGTATTACAGCGAATATTTCAACCTTAATTGTGACGTCACAGGCCCGGCTCCGGCGTGCTGCTCGAGGTGGCCATCTGGCTTCTGGACATGGCCTTCCACCTGTGGTTCCTCCTGGTGGACTGCACGCGGGTCGTGTCCAGCTTCTATTTCAACAGCAAGCCGCTGCAGGTCCTGCACTGCGCCGTCCTCTTCCTCTTCCACCTGCAGATTCTCAGGTCTGTGTTCCGTCTCTCGGAGCTACGATTTCAGTGCACCTACTCTGGTGGGCGCAACAATGAAGGTCTTCAATGCCGTAAAACCTTGCAGCGTTCTCGGATTCTCACAAAGTGCATGCAACACACGCACTCTTTTCTCAACGCGTGTTGTCGGTGCGCTATCCCTTGACCTGAGAAACACAGTCGTGCAAGCTGGTCGTTGCTCGAACAAAGTGTGCATTTTCTCGGTTAATAAAAAGAGGTCCGTCGTAACTGATTAAAACAAGATCTTTTACTGAGTAGCGATAACACCCCGCAAATTTTACTACAAAGTTCAAGTTCCACACCTAAACCAGCTACATAAAGTGTGCATGTGTGGAAACCTCAACTACAACAACCGAGAAATGCTTGAGGTCACGAAAATGATTAAACACTGTTGCATGGAGCTCTTGTGCAAATTATACGCGGGAGACACATCGATGGCTGTGGGCGGAGATGACGTTTCTTCTTCGGATAACCGACTGTAGCCTTCCATAGATCAATCTTATCTACAACTCCTAAACAACTATACCCTTCGGGGCAATGCTCTTATTGTTATAGCTGCGGGGCGTATTTGTTCACCAAGCAATAACCATTATCTGTCCTGCTGACGTTCTCATTACTGAAAACTGAGGGAGTGCTGTCTTGTCGATAATTGTATGTCGGACTGATAGCGCACAAGCTGGTTATCTTGAAGTACTAAGTGAGCAGCTTTATAAATAAGAGCTGCACGCGACGAAGGCAATTTGCCCTTATAGATAAGCTATAAAGGACACAAACTCAATTTAATGAAAGGGCAGCCGAAAAGCAAAGAAATCTTGCCGCAGATTCGTTTTTCATAGGACAGTATATGTCACTCAAGAATAACGTGGAGTAGAGGATAATGACGCAAGACGATCATGGGAAGAGCTCCATACAAACTGATGGGTATGCAAACTCCTTAGGATCGTTTACAGATTGGAGCCACGTACAAAGAA